GATTTGTTTATAGTGCCCGTTGGCACGTGGCTTGGTCAGGAGTGAGAACATTTGAAATACAATCCTTTTTTAAAGCTAGCGTGATTGCTCAAGTTTAAAAGCATTTGAGAGAGAGTGAGGGCTTTACTGAGGCAAGTGGAACATAACTCTTATCAATAACCAGGAATGTAAATCATGTTTTCATTACAGATTTGCTCAAGGCTGCATTGTGTTAAAGGCATCACAGACACCCTTAAAAAGCATGTTTTAAGGGCACTACAAAAATACTTTTTCTGTTCAGTTTTTCCAAAGCCTAAAGTTGCAGCTAGGTATACGAGACTTCCATACCTGTGATGCACATATAAGCAATCAGACTAAAACACTGTTGCTTACCAAATACTCAAAACTCACGGCTCAGTGATTAAAATAATCATTTGAAATGAGTACAATAAATGAGGCATCAGGACTCAAATTAATTACTGCCTTCTTCTGGAGTGGGGTGTCCAGTATCTTCCACTGCCCTAGGTTTCCAAAACAAAGCTGAATATTGAGGCCATACCTCAGCTGTAGAGCGTGGAGCCTAAGTCCAGTGTAGTCCACCTCCTTCTGCTCAAACTCCTTCCATTCTTCATCCTCCTGTAAAAACAAAAGCAAACACTTTTCGATATCGAAAAGATTCTCTCAGCAGACTGCGTTAATTACAAATGCTGCATTAGTTAGCATCTGCCAAAATAGTTCCCGTAGTACTACTTGTCTGGAAATGTAACTGTGAGGTGATTGCATTTTTGTCATTTTTATTATAGTCAAATTTGTCCCCTCTGTATCAGGAGAGAATCAGGACCCTTATATAATTAAAGGGTCCAATATGTTATAGACCAATAATGATATTGGTCTATAACAAAGCTGCACAGTGAGCTATAATTTTCATAAGACATGGGAAAAAATATTTTTATATGATCCTGGATCATGTGAAAAAAACAGGAATCTTGCCGCCTTCCCGGATCAGAACAAGCCACCCTTGACTAAAACGCATTTACCTGCAATTTTACTGCAAGTAACTGTCAGAAGAGATGATAAAACGTAACTTTCAGAAACTGCTCAACTGTATCTAGAACCAGGAGCAGCCACTGTCCCTGAAGCATTCTGATGCGTTACTTCACCCAGATGATTCACTCTCCCCTGGGTGACTTCATCCAGATTAAACAGAAAATAAAGCTGGGAGGTCCAGATCCCTCTGCCTGCAGACCTGAAAGACACGACTGCACGACTGACCCAGCAAATCCAGAAATGCTGCTTTTAAATGGTAGCTGACTCAATCCGCTGCAGAGTTTCACAGCTTCGACGTGGCACGGACCCAGGAGGTTTTGCTTGGTTAGATTTCGTTACACAAATCAAGAGGCTGTAACCAACATTTTTTCTACCCCTTTCTCTAAAAAAAAAAAAAAAGACATGTGGTAGAGCCGTTTCTCCCCCTTCCCAAGATAAAAGTGTGCTGTTCTAAAGGACAATTCCTACGGCAATGCTTCCCTAACAATATCAAACCCAGACTTCCATTTCTAAAAAAGTAAACTAAACCTTTAGCAAAAGAAAAAATTACATTACAAACAGCTCATTCTAAGTTATCCTTTTCTGTCTTTACTGCTGCACGTTTTCACTTCAGAATTTTCCCAAAACACGGGTGCCTGTGTTAGAATTTAAAAAAAGAACCAATTTAAAAAAAATGAAGAAAAACAGTAGTTCACATGTTATAGAACATGTTGCTCAAGTTGTACAGTCATGCTATTAAATGAACCTGAACTCTTAATGAATATATAAAATGAATATCCTTAATAAAGACTTTCCACAGATAAAAAGAGATTTGAACTCACAGATTATTAGACTGTGATATTTAACAAATCACCAGATATTCTTGTCAATAATTTGTGGCACCTCCTTTAGCAGCAATAACTTCACACAGTCGCATCCTATAACCAATTATCAGGCTCTGACATCTTGCTAGAGGGATTTTTTCCCATTCCTGTTTAAAAACTCAGCTCTGTGAGGTTTGAAGGATGTCGTGTATGAACAGCTCTCTTCAGGTTCTGCCACAGCATTTCAAAAGGATTCAGGTCTGGGCTTTGACTTGGCCATTCCAGGACAGAACCTCTTCTTCCTAAGCCACTCTTTGGAGGACGTACTTGAATGTTTAGGATCGTTCTCTTGTTGAAACATCCACTTTAGGCCCAGCTTGAGTTTTCTAACTGATGGCCTGACATTCTTCTCAAGAATTCCTTGATATTTCTCAGAATTCATGATTCCCTCAATAATGTCAAGTTGCCCAGGCCCAGAGTAAGAAAAACAGCCCCATACAAGGACAGTCCTACCACCATGCTAGACAGTAGGGATAAGGTTTTGTTGGTGGTAGGCTGTGTTGGCTCTTCGCCAAACATGGGCCCTCTTGT